CTCTTCCGTAGCGATACCATAAAGGGGGCAGAGAGAGCATCTGTCTCCATCTGAGGATGACTTGCAAATCAAGAGGCAGAGAAAAGCAAAACCACCACGTCTATTCTACCGTAGCCGTTAATACACTTACAGCAGGCTGTGGGGTTTGCGTATCACGGTGAGAGGGCAGCTGCGAGGTGCTCATCTTTCATTTTAAGGACTTCGGCCGGCAAGAAAGCTCTATTAAGGGTAAAGAGCCACGGGAATACGCAGCAAGGTATTCCCAGATCCGAGCGGGAACCGGTGCCAAACCTCTCGGGCAGAGAAGCAGCAGCAGCCGGCCGGGACGATCCACATCAGTCCACACGCTTGATTTCAGCAGGGCAACTCAGCCCTGGAGCCTGCTTGCTGCAATAACCCTCCTTCACAAAGAAGTCCCTGCCCTGCCCGACATGCACCCAAGGACTCGCCGGAGCAGAGCCGAGCCTTATTGCGCTTCTCCTTCCCTTTGCAACATAGCTGCCGAGTCATCAATCGGCGGAAAGGCGTATTAATCAGCCCTGAATGCCAACAGAGTGTGGCTTTAAGCATGTCAACTTCTGTCCAAGGCTTGCGTCTACCTTAGCAAAGGTGTTTACGTTTTGCAATCGCAGCAATTATGCAGAGAAACCTTGCTAAATAGAAAAATAAAGGCAGCTTTCAGCCCCAGTCTCTCTTTAGGTCACCTTCCCTAACCTCGCTGATATCTTTAGATTCTCACGACTGCCGATGCTATTAAAAGAGCCTCCGAAACAGCGATGTGTTTTATTTAATCATCAATGAAGAGGGAAAAAAAAACTACCTGAGAGCGTCCTAGTTTCGCCAGCCGATAACTGGCAATACTGAAGGAAATTCCAAGCTTCTGGCAGGACGCAGCTGCTCTACTTTTCAGGCCGGTTTGCTTAACTATGCTGAAAGCTCGCTGCCAGCGGAGCCTACCCTGCTGTCAAAAACCACAGCAGGCACAACCCCGTAAAGAAACTGGTTTGCACGGCAATTCCCCAATGCCCCAGTGAGCAGGGAATGAATGCAAGTCGCTACAAGATGCCAAACCACGGTGTTCGCTCTTGGTCACGCAGCTATACAGGCCGACAGCTCACAGCAGCCGCCATCTAGAAGGGAATAGGTATAAACCATTTTGGCAAGAGAAATGGTGGGTGGGAGGTTGAATTTTCTACCAAACTCTGTACTGGGAGGCGACCGGTGATTTGTAAGGACAAAACCAGCCAGGGGCTTGGCGTGGCATTGAGCTGAAGGCCAGGTCACAGCTAGAGCCTCCTGTGGAAGGCAAACACACCTGCAGTTTCCTTCAGGAGGACTGGGAGGAAAATCCCATCCCAGTGCTGCTCAGGAGGATGGAGAAAATACACATCAGCTGCCTGCAACAACAGAAGAATGGCTGTCCGGGAACAGGCAGCAGGGAAACGGATATCCCAGCAAGGATGGAGATGTTGCAGAGCGGCTGGCAGCAAACAATGAAAGTCCAATTAAGGGGAAGGGGTTAGCTCATCTGCCCGCACCACGTCAGAAGAGGCTATATCCGGCTATAGAAGAGTCTTTAAAACACTTTTTCAAACTCAAATAGTTAACCGTGCCTCCCCAGGGCCTCCTGGAAGCGGTGGACTGGAAGGAAGCTTCCCTAAATATCCCTTATTAAATACTTCAGCGCGTGGGGGAGAGGAACGACAGGAAGACGGGGCGGAGACGGGGTGAAGCGCGCCTAAGAGCATCGCAACTCATTTCACTTTGTGTTCGGCGCCGCGCAGCGACTATGAAGCCAGCTGCGACTCGGAACCACAGTGCTGAACCACTCAAGTGGGGCAGACAAGCTCGACAGCCCACAGCGAGGGCCGTGGGGCACAAAAGCATGACGAGCCACACGGCAGCCACGACGAAGGCTCCATTCTGCTCTCACCTCTCTCCTTTCTGGCAGAGGAGAGATCGCTTTGACAAAAGCCACATTTCTACATTCCTGGTGGCTTTGCAGGCCAGTCCTGGGGCTAAAGTTGCGGTCCATACAAAGGGCTATGAGATCCTGTAATTGCAAAGCGTCAGTTCGACCTCAGCAGCTAAAAAACACTCTGATTAATGCCACTGTCACACCGACTCCGAGCGCTGCTGGACAGCTCTCCACACCCTCACACATACCAGGCTTCCTCCGACTGCATCCTCTGACGTCAGAACCTGCAGCTTCCCCTACCAGGGAAAAAAAAAAAGCCCCAGCTCTTTAATCTGCTCAACGCATACAAGCTTACTCAAAAGAATCCTTCAAACTCTGCCATCCTGACACCCCTCCCCAAACGAGCCCTTCACAGTCTCAGTTTCACTCCTTCCTACTCCTGTGCAGACAACTTGTGCAAAATACTTGATATTTTCACCTCTTATCCCTCCATAATTGCCAGCAGTCGCTAAGCGAACGCGCGCGGTCCTGGTTCGTAAGCCACCCTGGGGAGCTCCTCACCAAGGAGCAAAGAAACGGGCAGCTGAAATATCCTCCAAGTTACAACATCAGCAGCTGTTAGAACCACTATGTACTCTCCAAAACAAGAGGCTTCCTCCACACGTAGAAATCCTGGCAGAATAACATAAAACAATCATCCCCACCAAGTATACACGTATCACTCTCACTCCATCCAAACAACTGTTAGTCTTACATGATCCTCGTAATTCCCGGCGCTGCTGAGGGGATTCCAGCTGCCTCCAGACATTCACTGAACGCCTGGGTAGAAAAAGTTTTACCTTTGCGTTCCAAGTGGATGGCCAGCATAAAAAAAGCAGCTCCTCACGCACACGTCTTGATGTGTTAGAAGTTGTGTTTTCTTTTTAAATGCAGGGATTGACCCCCTCTTTTCTCAGCAAAAGCCACAGCACTGCAAACTCTTGGTGTTTAATACTACTGTGTTTGGAAATTGTAGGTATGGAGGCGTTTGAACGTGAAGAGCATTGCCAATTCAAATGGGCAGCCCTTAATCACTCTGAAAAAACAACCCAAGACGTTAGCAGCCTCACACAGGCAGCAGTTCGTGACGGGGATCACGCTGCACAAATTTACAAGCTTGAGAAGCAGAAACACCTTGACATGGCTTATTCTTAACAAAGAAAAAAAAAAAAAAATCCCTGCCGCTGCTCTCCACAGATCTGCTCATCTCCTGATGTCATTCTGTTTCCACTGCTATGTCACATTGTCACCGAGCCGCGTGGGTAACGAGATAAAATTAGGACCTGACTTACAGGGCAAGTGCCAGAAGCGCTACAACAACCCAAAGGCACGAGCTCGCAGGGGAGGCAATCAGAGTTGGCATTCGAGGACATCACGCTGCACGTACCCAGCAGCTGGGCAGGTCGCACCGTACAAAAACCAGTTATTAATCTTCTTAGGAGGCTCTACTAGCTTTCATTTCCCAAATAAATTTATTTGTATAACCAAAAACTAAGCCTCATTTACACCCCCGTTCAAAACGCCCTCCCCAAAGATTAGTAAAGAATCTCAACAAACTATTTTTAGTGCTATTATGTCTAGATACTAAAAAGTACTCAAACAAACACCTTGAAGAAGACACTGTTCTTTGACATTTAAGCTGCATTTGTAGACAAGGATGTAATGGAAACTAAACTCCAGCCCCATCACAGCCATCCGTCCTACCCTTTAACCCTGAGAAAAATAGCAATGCATAAAAGGATCAATAAAATACCGCTTGGAAAGCGGTTGGACAGGGACGCTAAGACACAAACCTGCTGCTTAGATCCGACACTCCTACGGTCTGTCATCCTAAATAAGAACCCCACCAATACAGCCGATAATTTTGCGATGTTATTGGCGAGTTGGAGACAGATGCTCCCCCCCGACACCCCAGAAACATGCCCTGTAGGAAGGGATGCCCCTAGGGAGGTCGCCTCCTATGGATCACGGTTTCACGCGGGGTCTAGGCACCAGCCCAAGCAAACCCGGTTCTCCGGCACATTGCAAAGCACAGGCAGAGAGGCCCGAGTCAGCCCTAGTTGTCGTCTAAAGAACTTTGTTGGAATAACCATAATGCGTCGCGCACGTATAAAGAACTATCCTGCACATCGTTGCCAGCAAAGACTCTCTAAATAGACTAAATAACAGCAGCTCCAAGCTCTCCAGATACGGGGGAAAGGAATAACAAGATAACCACTAGCTATTTTTTTATTTCGAGTTTAGTGAGTAATCACAACTGAATGTTTGAAGGAAGGCAGAGACTTGGCCTTCCTACAAATCCCTTACGCTAGGAGGCTATTTCCCCCTCTACCTCCAAAATTAGGTTACTTTGCAGAAATCAAGACACCTACCAGCCCTCCTGCCAGAGCACAGGATAGTCACTGATAAAAGAACCTGTGCTCTCCTTGGAATTTGATAACGTTTCAAATATGCAGCTCTAGAAAACCATTAACCACATTCTTTGATGCATTTACTGGAGATTACTCCTGAACACAACCCTTGCTCACTCAAATAACATGTGAGATCAAACCCAGAAAGAGGGTATTTAGTCTAGAGTCGCATCCTCTCACACCAACGCTAAAAACAAAGCCTCACCTGGTTA